CCGAATAGGCCGAATAACGAATAGTAACCGAATATTCGTTACATCACTAGTAATAACAGATAATAAATGTCGATGGACGTTTTGATTCGCAATAAATAATTACGCGTATTGCGTACTAATAACAACTATTCAATTGGGAATATGCGATATACACTTGAGATAAAATTATGTCAAAGAAATACGTAACCTTAGCGAGTGACGTCGATGTTTTTTGACTTTTCCCTTTTGAATGTCAGGCGGAGTCACTAGATTTTTTTAAATTTGTAACTGCCGACTTAACCGTCAATTTCACTAAATTTGAAAAGGAAGATCTAGAGTTTGTGCATTATAAATAGGAGAAAAATGTAGACTTTTTTAATTAAGAGAGGGAGGAGATTTGTTGCAAGGAAGAGAAATACCGACAACGATATGAGGTGAGATGAACGTTTCACGTAGACGCTTTCCGAGTAAATACTCAAACAGATTAAATAATTAGGATACTTTTAAAATTTAATTCGATAAGGCACTTAAAATATAAATGGGTTTCGTGAAATTAACGGATATTTTATTATATTTAAAGAGAGACACAATTTCCTTTATTCCCGTAGCACGTGAATGAAACGGTTTGAGTCACCTTTTGTCTCTATCGTTAGAAGTAAATTTTCTTTCCTCTCAAACAAGGCGTATTATTTCTCTTTAATGTTAAGAGGAGGAAAATACTCGGAGAATTGTATCAGTTTATGGATCATTAATATATCTGGTTTATTTTTTAGATTTTCCAATTCTGTCCTTAAGTATCCCGAAAGGTCGTGAGTATATTTAATATTTATATGTCATGTAAAAGTCTGTCANGTTTTGGAAATGTTGAGTGGAATTAGTCTAGAATCGGTTAATTTTATAGAAGAAAACCTTTCGAACAGCCTTAGTCCGTAAAGTTCCCACCTATCGGGCTGCGATTGGCTCACTCCTACAACGTAATTTTCGGTTAGCGTGGAACGTATCTAAGCGTTATAGGGGGGTCTACTGTATATATATTTTTTATCAATTATTGTTATGGCTATTTATACATTTACAACTACAAAATGCATTTTCAGTGTTTTTCTTACTAAAGTCATTTTTTTCCAATGTACTAGTTAGCCTTGAGTGTGTTTTTCTTGTTGAAACGGATTATTTGGTTTTACATGTAATCGTATGGGGAAAAACGATTCACCTTACGACATTTTCATGACACGATCTCAGTTTCGAACGGATTAATTTCTTATCCTGCGGTACTACTGTATATCTTTAAAATATCCTAATTCTTAATGTATTCGAGTATTTACTGGGAAAGATTCCAATTGAAACGTTCGTCTCACCTCATAAGTTCAACATTATCGTTGTCGATATTTCTTTTCCTTGCAACAAATCTCCTCCCTCTCTTAATTAAAAAAGTCTACATTTTTCTCCTTTTTATAATGCACAAACTCTAGATCTTCCTTTCCAAATTTAATGAAATTGGCGGTTAAGTCGGCAGTTACAAATCTTAAAAAATCTAGTGGCTCCGCCTGACATTCAAAAGGGAAAAGTCAAAAAACATCGACGTCACTCGCTAAGGATACGTAATTTCTTCGATATAATTTTATCTCGAGTGTATATAGCATATTCCCGATTGAATAGTTGTTATTAGTACGCAATACGCGTAATTATTTATTGCCAATCAAAACGTCCATCGACATTTATTATCTGTTATTATCTTTCAATGTTTAATTATTCTCGTCGTTTCGGCATTGCAGTTATTGATTGTATTGTAATTGCTTCCTCTGATAACTGGGAAATTTAGCGTATATGCGTGTCTACTTTTCAACTTTTTCAATTTGCTCCTCTAATTTATACAATAAAGGAATTCCCGCTGAAAACAATTTCGTCCGAAGTGTATATAAAAATATAATTTCATTGAAGAGATTTAGGAACAATCGAAGTTTGTGTTACACGAATAAAGCTATTCTATATGTGTTCTTTTTCTAGTCACATGTCTAAGCAATTTTTAGTTCTCCTCACGCATTGTCTGGATGATCGTAATTGCAGTGGTAATGAGGTCCCGGGGCTTTGCCAATGACGTGGATAATGGTGCACATGAAACCGTGTTCTTTAGATACTCCAACAGAAGAGAATTCACACGGCGAGTAGTTTAAACGCGTGGAAAGCATCGATACAGAGCTTCGTCGTTGATTCAACGTCCATTCTAGCAGTGGGGGAGTTCTGCGTTCAAGTACGACGCATCTCAGTATGTACCTCAGAAGCTCCATTCTTCTTTAAACAAAGTAATCGAAAAGTCTGTTGTTTCGTAGGCACAAATTTGACAACGAACGTCGAATGCCACTTGGTGTGTGGCAAGGAAATAGTCGTAAGTGTGCTTCAAATTTGGAAAGTTTTTTTCTGTTTCGTGTTTGGATTGTATGACCAAGTGCGATAGTTTGAAGTTACATAAACTTTAAAAATGTTTGAAAGTTTGGAAACAATCATGCCGGCACTTATCAAAAGCTGCAGCTTACATTCAGATTTCTATAATTTACACGTTTCATCAAGTGACAGTAGAATAATTTGGAGTTTTGTGCGATATAAAATGGAGTAAACGTAGACTTTTGTAACTAAGAAGTTTTGTAAGTAAAAGGAAAATCCTAACAATTATAATACTGAATTTAAAGGATGAAATGAACCTTTTACGTGAAATCCTTTCAAGTAAAAATTTAATTTTTCAACCGAAATAAGTAGGAAATTTTTATATTTTATACGATAACCTAGTTAATATATAAATGAATTTAATAAATCCGATAAATATTTACTAAATTTAACGAATAAATTGAGATCATTTCGTAATTTTAACCACACTATTTTAGTGTATATATTTATTATTAAAAACGATTGTTTATGACCACTTCTTCCTTTTCTGTTCTCTTAAAAAACTGTTTAAAATTTTATTTATTAAACATACATTATTCAATGTAAATTCACTAGAAAAAGCAAAGCTTTCAGCTTTTAAGACATTTGCTTACAAGTAAATAGCTCACCCCCAACATCTAAAAACTTCGTATCTGGAAATTCTTCTGAAGAACTGTTATGTGCTTTAAAAAATACCACAAAAGAAAACAATAAAAATTAAGCTTTAAATATAGAATCTCCAAATTGGCTTTTTCCTGCTATTTTACAAACAACACAGGAGGCTTTTTCTTATTATTACGAAAAATAAATTTTAAACATTCATACGATCTGACAGAATACAACAGGCCCGTTTTGAGAAATGTAAAAATCAAATGGGATCAAGTTATTTGCGCTTTCATTAATTTAATGAGCCAGTAATTAACTGTTGTCATCCTCTAAGTGTTTTCGATATCTTGGCACGAGAGAGGTCAACATCAACTTTGATTCAAAAGGAACATTGGTTTAAACCTTACAGCCTAGACATAAATCAGAACCTTTCAGTTATGTGTGAAGACAGGGTATGGACAATAAGAAAACTTTTGTTTACCTCCTACTTTATATTTAGTAAATATTTATCGAATTTATAAAATTTATTTATATATTCACTAGGATATCGTATAAAATATAAAATTTCTTAATTATTTCAGTTAAAAAATGAATTTTTACTTGGAAATGTTTTATGCGAAATGTTTATTTCATCCATTAAATTCAATATGATTGTCAGGAGTTTCCTTTTACTAACAAAACTTCTTAGTCTACGTTTACGCCATTTTATAACGCACAAATCTTTACATTATTCTAATCTAATGTCACTTGAAGAAGCTTGTAAATTATTGAAATTGAATTGAACCTGCAGCTCATGATATCCAATATGAATGCTTACAAATGCCGGCATAACTGTTTCTAGACTTTATAAGCATTCTTTATTTGATTTTACTCTTTATAGTTCGAACATTTATCTTTAAGTCTGCAGATTTACAGAAAATTATTAATAGGAATGAATACTAATAAAAAAAATGATGGTTATTTAATTGTTTTAAAAATATTTCCATATCCAATCTCTTCAATATACAGTGTTATTATAAATAAATAATCGGGGCCTTAAAGTTCTGTAACTTCAAAGTATCGCGCTGGGTATCCACTCCAGACACGAATCAATAGAGAAATTTTCGAAATTTGAAGCGCAGTTATGAAGATTTCCTCTCCACACACCAAGTAGCATTCGACATTCGTTGTCAAAATAGTGGCTACGAAACAAAAGACTTTCCTATTACTTTGTTTAAAGAAGAATGGAGCTTCTGAGCTACATACCGAGGTGCGTCGTACTTGAACGCAGAACTTCACCACTGCTAGAATGGACGTTGAATCAACGATGAAGCTCTGTATCGATACTTTCCACGCGTTCAGATAACTCGCCGTGTGAATTCTCTTCTGTTGAAGTATCTAAAGAACACGGTTTATGAGCCACCATTAACCACGTGATTGGCAAAGCTCCGGGACCTCATTACATCTGCAATTACGACCATCCAGAGAATACGTGAAAAGAACTAAAAATTGCTTAGATATGTGACTAGAAAAAGAACACATAGAACAGCTTTATTCGTGTAACACAAACTTCGATTGTTCTTAAATCTTTTCAATAAAAATATATTTGGTATACGCTTTAGACGAAATTGTTTTCAGCGGAAATTTTTTTATTGTATAAATTAGAGGAAGAAATTGAAAAAAGTTGAAAAGTAGTCACGAATATACGCTATATTTCCCAATTATCAGAAGAAGCAATTACAATACAATCAATAAATACAATGCCGAAACGACGAGAATAATTAAACATTGAAAGATAATATCAGATAATAAATGTCGATGGACGTTTCGATTAGCAATAAATAATTACGCGTATTGTGTACTAATAATTATTCAATTGGGAATATGCGATATACACTCGAGATAAAATTTTGTTGAAGAAATTACGTAACGTTAGTGAGTGACGTCGATGTTTTTTGACTTTTTGCTTTTGAATGTCAGGTGGAGCCACTAGATTTTTTAAAATTGTAACTGCCGACTTAACCGCCAATTCGATTAAAGTTGGGAGAGATTGGGGGGTTTGTGTATTATAAAAAGGAGAAAATTTAGTCTTTTTTAATTAAAAAAGGAAGGAATTTGTTGTAAGGAAGAGAAATGCCGACAACGATAATATTGAATTTATAAGGTGAGACGAACGTTTCAATTGGAATATTTCCGAGTATATTTTTAAGATTTAATTTGATAAAGCAGTTAAAATATAAATGGGTTTGGTGAAATTAATGAATATTTTATTATATTTAAAGATAGACACAATTTTCTTTATTCCCGCAGCACGTGGAAAAACTCGACTGAAAGGTTTTGGGTCACCTTTTGTCTGTCGTTAGACGTAAATCTTTTTTGCACTCAAACAAGGCGCATTATTTCTCTTTAATGTTAAGAGAAGGAAAATACTCGGAGGATTGTATCACTTTATGGATCATTAATATATTTTGTTTATTTCTTAGATTTTCCAGTTCTCCCCTTAAATATCCCGAAAGGTCGTATGTATATTTAAAATTTATATGTCTAATAATATAAAAGTCTGTCAGATTTCTTTTAAGTGAGAAATTAATAATAGAAATTAAAGTTTTATTTTACAATGTTTGATATTTACGTTTTTTTCTTGTAAGATATACTTCGGAGGAGTCCAACATTTCGCCCGAACAATTAAGGATGGAATCTGAAAGTTTCGAAGAAAGAAGTTAACATTTACTACTGAGAAAATGGATTTAAAGATCGGAAAGACTTTCTTTGTTATAAATTTATCAAAAAAAATATTTTTGTAAATAAACCTTGAACAATTTTTGTGAGGACCGAAAGAATCGAAGAAATTGTTATAAACGTTTTGTTTTCTGCATTTTACGATAAATTTGAAATTGGACATATTTTAGATTAAATATAGATTTATTTTTAAGATATAGCCAATAAGTCGAACATGTTTTTCTGCATTTGTGGTTCTATTTATTGATTTATGTTCGATGTTTAAATTCAGATATAACATCGTTTGACATTTCTATAGGTTTTGTGCATGAAAACGCAAATAAATTTCTCTGTGAAGATTGTGGAAAAGCCTTCCGTCGGAAAAGAGAATTAGAACGTCATCGCAGGACTCACACGGGAGAAAAGCCATTCTCTTGTCAGTTCTGCGCTCGAAGATTCAGTCATATGTGCAATTTACGACAGCACGTTAGGATTCATTCTGGAGAGATACCTTTTACCTGCGATCATTGCAAACGGAGCTTTACACAAAGACAAAGTGTAGTAAAACATCTTCGCATTCACACTGGCGAAAAGCCATTTGCTTGTGATTACTGCAAACGGAAATTTTCAAGGAAAGATCATGTAATACGTCATCTTCGCATTCACTCAGGGCAAAATACTTGAAAACTGTTTTGAAAATTCAGCTTAATTAATTAATTGATTAAGTTATCACAGGAAACACCTTCCAAATAAACATTCGTAAAGCTTTTTTTTTTCTTTTAATTTTGAATGTTTTAGAATTCTTCCAGTAATTATTTTATGGGTGTTTTTTCAAAACGTGTAATCTGATTTAAATATTTGTTTTATGTAATTTATATAGTTATGACAATAAAACGTTTTCGAATTGAAATATTAACTTTTCTTATTGTAATTAAAAAATAAAGAAGCTTTGAATAACAAATCACAGTAGTTTTGATTTACCTTTTGATTTGTTGAATGCAACGTTATGACAGAAAATACAGGTTGACATTATTTCTTATTTAGTAA